AGGCCTCCTTAAGGGCTTGTTAGTAGGGTTAGTTTTACTTAGTTAATAATAAATTTAAAAGTTAAAAGTAGCTACTTACTCTACTTACTAAGCTTACCTTTTAGTTAGGGTCTTAGTAGTTATAAACTCTTAGAGGTTAGTGTAGTCTATTAAAAGTTTTATTATGTAGGCAGCTCTCTTTAGATAGTAGCGCTAGTGTTTAAAGCTCTCTACTATAGTAAGTAGCTTACTATTATAGGTGTTATAGTTACATTCTACTACTATAATTTTGCGCAAGAAAAAGGCTATAGAGTGCTACTAGTCTTTTTTTACCCTATCTAGCTTAGGCTAGCTTAGAATTCCTAAGATTGCATATCCTAAGGCATTAGTTTTAACCTAGTAGTATAGGTTAAAATTAAAATGTACTAGTAGTAGTTCTTTAGCAAATCTACTTTTTAGTTTATTAAAGGCAAACACTACTTAAAAACTTAGCGCTAGGAAAATAGACTTCTTTTTATATTACTAATAGCCTTTTTTAGCTAAACCTTAAAGTTATTAAGTAAGCTAGTGTAAAGAAGTAGTAATCTATAAGAATCCTTCTATAAAGTGTTAGTAGTAGTTAGTAAACTCTAAAAAGATCTAGATCTTTCTTATAGTTCTAAGGATTAGCTACCTCTAGATAGCTTTAACTTAGTCCTTCTCTATCTAGACTCTTTCTAGAGTAATAATAAAGCCTAAGTACTCTACTTTATCTATGTAAAATTTATATTTTAAAAGCTTAGCATATAGCTTATGCTAAAAAAGCCTAGATAAAACTAAGTAAACATGCTTTTTATACTTAACTTTATTTTAAAAGTAAATAAGTATATTGTCTAAGTAAATAATATAACATATGTTAAAAAAGTCTAATAGTGTAAAGTTAATGTAACTTTAGAAGACTACTAAAGCGTTTATAAGTCTAAAAGGCATTATAGTGTATTTAAAATAGCTATAGTAGGTCTAAAAAGTAGTTTTCTACTTATCCTTCTTCTTAATCTAAATGCAGTAGTAGGTGTTACACAGGTCTAGTTTAGAGTAGATTTTAGCGCAGCTTAATTAATCTAAAGATTCTCTAATTAATAGAAAAAAGTATTAGTTCTTTACTATAATAGTATTAAAGCTTTAGTAGTCTATATAGAGTTAAAGTGTCTTATCCTTTTTTTTTGCAAATAGAACAGGGGCCCCTGCCTTTAACATTAAGCAGCGTATCTATCCCTGTTCTAGGTTTGTCTAAATATACTTTTATAAAACTTCTACCTTAGTAGTAAAAAAACTATAAAGAGAGCTATATAAAAGTTCTTTTTTCTTATCTAAGTTAATTATAAGCTTATGTAGGCTATAGTTAGGCAAAAAGAAGGTGTTATGTTCTAAAAATACTCTTTAAAACTTCTTAAAGTATGCTAACAGCAGCCTAGGCTTCTTTAAAGTTAGTTAGAATATGCAAGTAATTACTATTATAAACATGTTATTATTAAGGTCTATTAGTACCTTTATAAATACTTTTAAGCTGTCTAGACTAATTTTTTTATAAAGTTAGTAGTGTCCTTAAAAATAGACTATTTTGCGTATAAAGTTAAAAGTTAAGTTCTATTTTTCTAGCTAAAGCATGCCTAATATTATACTATAACTAGAGATTTTTATTATAAAAAAGGTAAATTTACTTGCTTAAAACTACTTTTTACTATTTTTAATATAGTAAAAGATGTTAGCTTTTTTTATAACCTTTAATAGCTGTTTTTTTAGAGATATAAAAAAGCCTAGGTTTACTAAGTTAACTACTACACCTGCTTATTTAGTAAAGTTTTAATTTAAGAAGTTTACCTCTACTCTAGAGTTTATTATAGCTTAGTAGTAGTAAAAGAAGGTTAGACCCCTAATAGCCTTTAAAAAGGATATAAGCATTACCTTTATAGTACTAGGCCTAGCTTTTTAGGTACTTGCTACTGCTACTTTCTACCCCTCTAAGTATTCTACCTAGCTTATAAGACGTAGGGGGGGGCGTTCTAGGGCGCAGCTTTTTCTGCTAGGTTGTCTTTTTTAAGGGGATAGTTTCTCTGCATATAGCCCTACTTATAATAGTTATAGTAGCCTCTTTTTTTTTAGTTTTTAGCCTTTTATGCTTTTTTAGCTTTTAACTTTTAAAGCTTAGTAGCTATAAAGTTATAAAGCTTTATATTATTTTTTTAGTGTTAGTTACTTTAGAGTTTTTTATAACTTACCTAGCTTTTTAAAGGGTGTTCTACTTCTTCTAGAGGCCTTTTACTACCCCTATAGTTCTCTTCTGCCTAGAGGACCTGCTAGTGCTAGTTAGCCTCTATTTCTAATTTAAGAAGACTACTCTACACTCTTAGTTAAAAGTCTAGCCTATACTACACTTTTCTATTTAAGGTAAAGAAAAAGTTATATATTAAGTTTTAATTTAAGTTATTTAAGGCTTTAATAAAGTTAATATCTTTTTACTAAGTTTTAAAATAGTTAAGAAGTTTAGTAAAAGTCTAATTTTTTTAATTTACATTTTTAATTTTTTACTTAGCTAAATTTTTTTTTTTTTAGGCATGTCTAAAAAAGCTTAACAGCGTTTCCTTTATAAAGCTCTAGTGTAATTAGGTTAGGTAGTTAACTATAAAGATTATATATACTACTCTATCCTAACAGTTGCAGGGGTCCTCCCCTAGGTAGCGCTAGCAGAACTCTACCTGTAATGCTGCATTTAGAAAGACTAAAAGGTTTTAGATGTATTCTTTATAGCCTCTAATATATACTTATAGTTACTTATAAAACTTTTCTTTAAACTTTAGAAGTTAGTTAGGCTTAGGTAACTGTAGCCTAAAAAGGGTGCCTACAGGAGCAGCTGTCCTAGGTAGGAACAATAAGAGTTAGCTAGTGGCTGTCTATAGGGGGGCTGCTAGCCCTAGCCCTATAGGGGTTAGGTTATTATAAAGAGAGTTATAAAGCTTTTAAGAGGATTATAATGTTTTTTTTAATTAGTCTTTTTAGAGTTGTTTTAGTCTTTTTTTTTTTTTTTTTACTTTTTTTTTTAGTTTTTTTTGTTAAATCTTAGCATTTAGTTAGATAATGTTGCTTATTATAATCTTCTCTAAGAGTGTCTTAGCCTAAGTAAAAGAGTCTAGAGGTAGCAGTCTCTAGAGGGGTTGCGCAGATGTCCCCTCTTTATTAGGTAGTCTGTCTACAGAGGGAGTCTATAAGTCTTGTACAACACTAGCTTAGGTAGCAACAGTTATGCTAGGTATTATTAAGTAGGTAGAGAATTGTATTATAAAAAACAGAGTATACACTTTATAATTAAAAGGTGTATTAACTAACAAAGGTGTAACTATAACATAGAAGTATAATTAGTACCTGCTTAATTCTTAAAGTAATCCTTTGCTATCTAAAGAGGGCTTCTACAACTGGCTATATACTTCTCTAGAGAGCTAGGCACGGCAGCGCTAGTAGCGACAGATCTAGTATGCTGTAGGTCTAGTTTAAAGTATTACCTGTCTAGGATGCCCGGCTTTTTAGGCGAGGTAGGCATTGTCTAGGAAGTGCAGGGTTAACGGCACAGTTTAGGAGTTGTCCAGGACTGCCTAGTGCAGTCTAGGCCAGTCTACAACAGCCTAGGAAACACCTGGATAGCCAGTCTTTACAGTTAATGCCCTAGATAACTGTTGTCTACTTCTTATTACTTTACTATATTGCCTTTAGCTGTTCTTATCTCTCTAAAGCTATAATAACTGCTCTAGTTAATATCTAGCCTATTATAAAGCCTAACTTATTAAAGTTATACCTGTCTTTATTCTAGATACTATACTTAGCTTTTATGTTAGCTACTAGGCAAAACTAGCCCTAGATAACCTCTAGATCTTTATAAAGCGCT